TTAATTTATAAGAAATGGAGCTTGTGTTAAATACAAACTGAGATCAATAAGGATTATGTCCAAATCTTTTCATTTGAGAGGAGACAATGGATGATTATAGAAGCAGTAAAAGGTTTCACTTTAAGTTTTTGGCATTATTAACAATTTTCATTTTCTCAGTTACCTGCATGGGCCTGTGCATTTGAGTCAGAACCCCATCCCGACTACAATGCCAGCACTTGCTATTTTCAGCTCACCTCTCCTGTACAACCCCCTAAACGTTTTGCATATTTATTGGTGGAAAATCATCTCACTGAGGAGGAGGCACCAATTACAATTACTTGCCGCACTGTACGGTTAGAAGCTAAAAGCAAGGTAAGATTTTCAGTTGCTTCCTCTCCCATACTGGAGAAACTGTCTCTGGGTATGTCTACACTGCAAAATTTAAGTTGAATTTATTTAAGTCGATCCTTTAGCACCCAAGTATACAAAGTCAAAGGTGCATGTCCTCCCTGGGCACATGCAATCAATGGAGTGCATCCCCAGTAGCATGGCTACCTTTGATTTTGACGGTGATGTACTGTGAGTAGCCATCCCACAGGTCCTGCCATCCTTTTGCATTATGGGTTAAGCTCCCAGAACCTGATCGAACAAAAATATTGCAGCAAGTGGTTATGGGTATATGTTGTCATCTTCCCTTAATGCACTTATTTCCTCTCCCTCCCTCTTGCACCCTCTCCCTCCCGCCAAAAGCAACAGCAAACAATATTTGTGTGCGCCTTTTTCTCTTGTTATCCATGCAGACGCCATAGCATGGCAAGCATGGATCCCACTCAGCTGCAAACTGGTGTGGTAAGCATTGCAAACACCTCACACATTATACTGTGGTTTCTCTAGAGCCTAGCTAGAGCTGCCAGAGTGAGGAAGGATTTGAGGAGGTCGTGAACATAGACGTGCAGGAACACACTGAGTGGAGCAGATGGCATATTCTGACAGCAGTCAATCCTGTTGACACAGTGGAACACTGATTCTGGTCCCATGAGACAAGCACAGAGTAAAGGGACCACATAGTAGTGCAGCTGTGGGCCAATGAGCAGTAGCTGCAAAACTTTCACATGCATAAGGCCACTTTCATGAAACTTTATGAATTGCTTTCCTCCATCCTGAAGTAAGGGTGTTAAGGACTAACTGACCCTAGGCTCCTCTTAGCATTTCAAAGTGGCAGTGCAGCATGGAGCACAAATGCGCCGCATGAGCCCAGTGGAGCAGGGAGCATCAAGTCGACTAGTCGATTCCCCTCCCCCCCGCTGCCTCTAAGAGGAGTTACTTTAAAGCGGCAGCACTGCACAGTTGATCCCGGCTCAGCTGTGTGGCGCTGCCCCTTTGAAATGCTGCAGCGGCGTTTCAAATGAGCAGCACCACATGGAGCCCAAGATCAGCTCCATGCAACACTGCTTTGAAACACTGAGTTGGCGTTTCAAAGGGGCAGTGCGCTGCACAGCTGAGCCCAGGACTCTGATTCCCCCACTGACCCCAGGCTCCATGTGGGTGCTTTGAAATGCACAAGAGCCGCTGCTGGCATGCCTGCATGCAGCCTGGAGTCAGTGGGACTTCCTGCTGGCCCCAGGCTGCACGCAGAGTTCCGCATTCCTCCTTTGAAATATACAAGAGCTCCCTCGGGGGCTCTTGCACATTTTAAAGGAGGAATACGGAAGTGCCTATCCAGTAGCCGGGTAGTCGATGGAAATTCCATCAACTACTCAACTAGTAAATTACTCAGTATTTGACATCCCTACTCTGAAGTGCATCCATACCAAAATGAGACCTCCTCTGACAATAGCCAGTGGCAATTGCGTGTGGCAGTAGCCCTTTGGAAGCTTGCAACATCAAACTGCTACCAGTCAGTTGAGAATCAATAGAGAGTGGGTAGATCTATATGCTCTCATCTCTTCCTATTCAGTGCATATGACCTGAAACATCGTTCTCCTCCATGCAATCTGTCCACACCAAAACAGCACAATTGAATGCATTTGGCTCATTAAACACTTCATACTGTGTACATTTTTTTCATTACCTTATCTGTGATAGCCGAAGTGCCGGAGGATCTGGGAGAGTGGGTAACAGTCAGGCCCACTGACAAGAAGGAAGAGGGGGGCAAAGAGGGAAGTTGACCCAGGGCTCAGCGATTCTAAAGGACTCTGCTTCTGCTGCTGATACTGCAATCATAAGGACAGTGGCAGATAGTGCCCTGAGCTCTTTAAATCACCACTGGAGCACCGTACTGGGGGGACTGGAGGGTGGGCTCCGAGCAGCACAGCTCCACGTCTTCCGGAAGTCCAGAGCCAGGTCCCCCACCCAATCTTGTCCAACGGCCCAGCACAGCTGTTGGTGCTCCCGCAGTCACTATTGTAGCTCCATTGTGGAAAAAAAATCAAGCGTAGAATTTAGAGAAGATACATTGTAAAACACAGAAAGCTAATTTCTACAATGAAGGAAGCACTGTTGCACAAAAGGCATGTTTTATGTACAAGTTCAAAGTTATCGTTTTAAGCACCTGCTAAGGAGGTAGAATACACACACCATGGGGCAGTTGGACTCTGTTTGATGGCAAGCAAGAGGTTGGGGTTCTTGCTCTTTTGCTTCAGCTTTTAAAAACTTGTATGGCAAAGTGTTGTAAAGTGCACCCCTCATAGTTATCTAGGTGTCTGCATTTGCAGAGGGGCCTTCCAAGGGCTGGGTGACTGAGCAGGTTTGTAGGGGCTCATGTGGCCAGAATGTGTTTGCCACCACGTCTCCCTTATCCTTGTTCTCCTGTAAAGCCTTTTGCAAAGACGGCAGCAAACCTTGGGTCATGATTTGTTGGAGATGAGCAAAACAGAGGTGGATTGCCTCAGTGCTATCAGTTACAGAGCTTCCCCTATTTCATCCAGGTTACCATGCATGATATCAGTCTGCTCTGAATAACAGAGTATATAAGGGAGCAGATGCTGACTGAATGAGGTCAGAAACCTAGACCTTACGCCCGTGGTCACCAACCCGTCGATCGCGATCGTCTGGTTGATTGCGAGGCCTCGACCAGTCGATCGCGAGGCGTTCAGGTAACCCCGCCCCCATTTTCCCATCACCACCAAGAAGCCCTGCTACCTACCTCTAGTGTAGTGCTGGCTTCCCGCAGGGTGGACGGAAGTCCTCTCTGAAGCCCGCGTCACTTCCGGGGGTTCCGGAAGTGCACAGGCTGCTCCCCCTCCCACAGCTCTGTTGCGTGCTGGGAGAGGGGGCGTTGGCCCTAGAGGAGAAGTGCGGCGTTGGCCCTAGAGGAGGAGTGCGGAGGCTTCCCTGTGCCACCGGCGCCGGAGGGGTGAGTTGGGCGCAGGGGTTTCCCTGCGCTGCGGGAGCGGGAGTCAGCCCCGGGGTTTGGCTGCGCTGCAGGAGGAGAGGGAGTTGGCCGGGCCACGCTGTGGGAGGGGGGTTTGACCCCGGGGCAGGCACCCATGGGGGTTGGCCATGCTGCAGGACGGGGTTGGCTGCGCTGCGCCACAGGAGGGGGATTTGGCCCGGGGGCAGGTGCCCGCGGGGTTGGCCGCACTGCGGGAAGGGAGGGGGTGGGGCCACGGAAGGGGGGTTTGGCCCCGCCGCGGGAGGGGTGGGGGTTGCCCCTGGTGCAGGCTCCCATGGGGGTTTGGCCCCGCCGCGGAATGGGGGGGTTGGCCCCGAGG